CTGGGTGGGAGATGGGGCTGGCAGGGCACTGCCTGCCCAGCCTGTTCCCCCAGCCCCATGCTGAGCTGCCTCCACCCCTCCTCCTTGGGAAGTTTTTTACCCAAATCTCTTGATGGAGTATTTCCTTTGTTCTTTTTCTCTTCCCCTAGACCTGCTCATCCCGTTCCCCTGGCCCTGGGCAACAGGTTACTTCATTCCCTTCCGGAGCTCTTGCCCGGTGGAAGGCTGTCCCTGTCCCCCACCTGGGGCCCACCTGGGGCATCCCACATCTCCCACACTTGCCCTCCCCATGGCTCTTGTCACCCCTCTGCATTGCCCCCCCAACCCAGGCCGTGGGGTCCCTGTGTCCATTGTGGGCATCTGCCCTGCTCCCCTCTCCCCCCATTTGTCCCCAGCATTGTCCCCTGGGCAGCTGGGGGTCGTGGCTGGCCTCATCCCTGTGCTTGGCTGTTGAATAAACCCCCTGCCTACACTGCCTGCCTGCCCTGCGTTGTTCCCAGAGCAGTGGGGCTGCGGACCCTCTGGGGTGGGCAGGGGAGGGCAGCCAGGAGCCAGGTAGGGGGGATTTGGCCTTTCTCTGGGCTTCCCTCCTAGTCCCTGGGGTCTCAAAGGACCAAGTGCTGGGAGCCTGGTGTCCCCCTGTGCCCCTCTTGGCTCTCAGCACCCTCACCCTGCCTCAGTTTCCCTGCTGGGGCATGTGCAGGGAGCGCTCTGGCTGGATACCACCGCATCCTCCTGGCGACACAGGGACATGCCAGGTGCCGGGGCAGCAGCCCCTGAGCTGGCAGGCCGTGACACCCATAGCACACCTCACCATCCTCCCCCCCCGCGCCACTTTGCAATGAGCCCAGTCAGCTTTGGTGGCACCAATATGTTTATAACCCAGCACGAGCACAGCCCCTGCACCCCGGGGAAGGGCACAGGCAGGAGGACTCTTCTGGGGTGCAGCCAGCCTGGGTGGGGGGAGTGGGGTGTGCAGGCAGCATGGGACAGTGATGCTTGCCCTTGGGCTGGCACCCGGGCACTGGTGGCTCACACATAGTCCTTCATGGGGTAACCCATCTGGCTGCAGGTTTTCACCGCTCTGTACTGCTTGGGGTAGGGGTCCTGCTGGGACGGGGGTCCCGAGCAGCACAGGATGCCCCCACCAAAAAGCTGGAGGGCACTGGAGGCCCAGCCAATGTAGAGGGCAGCCCCCAGCTCTCTCTTGAGGGCCTCGGGCACCATGGGGTTGTAGAAGTTGCTGACAATGCTGTTAGCAGACCAGGAGACGGGGATGAGCAGCATGATGCTGGCCAGGACGAAGATGGCGCCTGCCACAATGGAGATCCTGGTCTTGGTGCTCTTGTCATCCACGCAGCGGGTGCAGTCCGCACCCGACATGGCAGTGAGGAAGGCGAAGAAAGCCACGAAGATGGAGGTGATCACCAAGGCACGAGCTGCTTGCAGGTCGGAGGTGAGCTCCAGCAGGGAGTCGTAGACCTTGCACTGCATCTGCCCTGTGCTCTCGTACACGCAGTTCATCCACAGCCCTTCCCAGAAGACCTGGGCCACCACGATGTTGGAGCCAATGAAGGCCGTCACCTTCCACATGGGCAGTGCACAGGTGAGGATGGAGCCCAGCCAGCCCAGGACAGCCAGCATCAGCCCACCCAGCTGCATAGTCATCGTCGCCATCGCACCTGCAGGGACAGGGCACAGCCATCACGCACGCAGCCCTGAGCCGGGGGGCTTTCTGAAGAGCATGGACTGGGAGTGTCCTGCTCCCCATCTGAGTGGGAAAGGCTGCAGACCAACATGGGGACACGTGTGGCATAGGGCATTGCAGCAGGGGGGCCTGGGGACACCTTTGGCGTGGGGCATTGCTGCAAGTCAATACAGGGACACGTGTGGTGCCCAGGTCCTGGGGAGGCCAAGGTGCAGGAGCCCCCATGTGCCATGTTACCCCCTACGGTGTCCCCACGGCACAGGGCAGACCTCTGCTGTCGCCCCCTCCCAGCTGGGCCATGCGCATGGCAAGTGGTAGGGAGAGTTCAGCTTTTGGGGAGCAGGATGAGGGGCTTGCTGTGCCCATCCCAGCATGTTCCAAAGTGCAGATCCCCACCCCACACTCACCCCCACGTCCTGCTGTGGCAGCCACCCCACAGCAGCGACCCCACGCCCTGCTCCATTGCTGGTGCTTCAGCCTCCCTGGCCATAAGCATCACGCCGGGGAGCACGGGCCGGCGAGGCAGCCCCCTGCCCTCGCTGCAGCCCCAGCTGCCCCCGTTGAAGGGTGGGTTTTGCTTTGCCCTCTGCAGCTATGCTGCAGTGCCCTTTGGACCCCGGATTTCCTCTCTGGGGAGCTGGAAATGGGTCAGAGCTCGGGTCTGCCTTCGCTCCTGGCTGTGGGGCCCA